CAAATTCTTCACCCAAATTATATCCAAAACTTTGAACTTACTGACCTTAGCCTCCAAAGCTTGAATGTCTCCAAAAATAAAATCCTTATCCCTAATAAGGCCTTGGGCAACTTCTTTGAAGCCCATTAGGCATGACATTTGACCAATAGGGTTGAAGGTCTTTACCCCTTACCTTCATCCAACTATACCTTGCTTTCATCCTTCTCAATAAGCCTCTTAATAGTTTAGACTTTCATCTTTGAACTCCAATCTTTTCTTAAGTTTTATACTAAATATCTAAATCCTACATAATATAAACACTATAATCAAAATAGATAAATCTCCAAATAAATTCCTTTATATCAATTCTCTTTAAATTTATTTACTAACCACTCTAATCTACATCAAGACTTACAAATATATTATATGTCTTAATTAATTTTTAAATACTATAAGTAATTACAGTATAATAGTGTCATAATATTAAACATATTATATATTGCCATCTATTGAAGGAAGAATATATTGTTCATAAAGATCTTTATCTTGATTATATTAACTTGAAGGTTGTGACAATTATAATGTCTTGTTTAATAATTCAAAAAAGTATAATTCTTAAATTGAATCTATAGATTTGGTTATTTTTTATCTTTTTAGTACTATAAATGTACAAAAGCTACAATAAGGATAGAAAGTAAAATGATATCTTCTATTTATTTTGTTTCTTTTAAAACAAAGATTTGCTATTCTTTATCTTAGTTTTGATAGATATCATCAATAAAAAGTCTCAATATTTTTTTATTTATTTACAAGATTCTTTTTTGGCTCCTATATATATTCATTACTATTAAATTTGCATCAATGAATAAGATTTTTCAATCTAATTTGGTGCCACTTTGAAGCTAAGACTTCTTTCATCTTGAATTGTTAATTATTATCCACTTCTATAGGACGAAGTGATATTTGTCTTCTTTTTAAGATATTCACTATCTTGTATGACTCAAGAAATATATAGAATACAAGATGAATCTTTATAGACTCAAGTAGGTATAATTGATAAGTAACAAAATTAATTTTTTTACAAATATGAAAAGATTTAAGCTTATAATAGTCCAACTTGTCACAAGTACAAGTAATCTTTATATTGGGACAAAGTAATCATATCTTATCACTTATAATGAATTATATTTGTCTTTTGTAATAGGCATCCACATTGATCTTTTGCAATTTTTGAGCTTTCTTTAATTGTGTCTTTGATGTTGCATAGAACTCTAATAAATGATTTACCAAATCTTTTGCCATAGGATTATCAACTTTTAAAAAGTCAAAAGTATTAAGTCATGAATGAAAACTATAAATGACAAAGAAAGGTATTTTTTGAATAAAACCATATACCAAATTATTGTACTCAAACTATGTCAATAGCAAAAAATTTGTCCAATCATCTTATTGATAGCTGATAATACATTTCAAATATTGTTCCAAAATTTTATTTATCCATTTTGTTTGTCTATCAATTTTAAGATAAAAATCCAAAAAAGGCTTTATATCTAATTTTAAAAAACTTAGTTATTTTTTTTATTTATAATAGATTTTATATAAAATATGCCATCTTAATAAAATGATCTACTATCACAAATATAGAATCATATAAATTTGAGACTAAAAGATTTATAATAAAATCTATAAAAATAGAAGATTATAGTTGTTGTGAAATAAGTAATAGTTGAAGAAGTCTATAATGTCAATGATGAAGAAAATTTGATTTTGAATAAATATTATATAACTGTATTAAATCTTTGACTACCTTTTTTATTTGAGGCCACCAAAAATCTTTCAATATTACCTCTAAAGACTTATTGTATCAAAAATGTCTAGCTGTTGGAAAGTCATGATAAACTTGAAGAATAGATAATTATGTTTTACCTTTTAAAATATATAATTGTCTCTTAAAATAGAATAGATTATTTTTGAACTTAATTTTAGAAGTATTATGAGACTTAAAAGAATCATACTTGATATCATGAATAAGAAGATTAGAGGACATACTTGATTGAATTTGCTTGACATAGGTTGAATCAATATTCAATGTTGATTTTATTGCTAAAAGAGAAAAATGCTCTAACTTCAAGAAAATTAATCTTTGTTGATTAAAATTTGCATCTTATTCTTTTGATGTAAGATAAGAATGTCTAAGAAACCTTGTTGTTTTTTGAAATGATAAGTGATCCGGAAATCAAATCTTGATAAAGATATGCTCTAATAGGCTTAATGATGATTTAAAATATGTATTGATATGAAGAACTTTAAGTTCTTGTGATATATACATATATATATATATATATATATATATATATGGTGACTAAACTTAAGGTGTCTTTTAAATAATGATGCCATTCTTGAAATGAATCCACTATTGTAAGAAGCTCTTTATTATAGATCTCATAGTTAATTTTGGTTGTTAAAAATTTCTTAAAATAAATAGCTATAGTGTAGAGTTTGTCATTTGTTCCTATTTATAATAAACGATACTTATAGCAAAGTTTGATGCATTTGTTTCTATAAAAAATACTTAAAAAAAATCAACAAGATATAAAATTGGTGCAAAAAAAAAATGTTGTCTTTAAGGCTTTAAAAGATGCTTCAGCTTCTTTGATTTATTGAGGGTTGTCTTTATATAACAGATGTATAAGAAGAGTATCAACTTGAGAAATTTTCTTGATGAAGATCTTATAATAATTAGAAAATTCTAAAAAAAATTGTACATCTTTGATTTTTTTTTAGAATCTTCCAATTTACAATAATTTGGATCTTCTTTGGATCCATTATTAGTCCATTGTTGAAAATGATGTACCTTAAGAATTTAATTTGAGTAGTATAGAATATATAATTTTTAACTTAGCATTTAATCATATAACTTTAAGTTTTTATAACATATGAAAAATATAAAGTTCATATTTTTTTGTGTTCTTAGAATAGATTATAGTGTTGTTTAAATAATATATAATAAAATTAGTAAGAAAACCACAAAAAATATCATTCATAAGATGTTGAAAAGCAATTGGTACATTTATGAGCCCAAAAAGCATGACATTATATTTGAATTGTCCATACCTAATTTGAAAAGCAGTCTTTTATTCATCTCTTTCTTTAATGTGGATCAAGTTGTATATTCTTCATAGATCTATTTTTGTATAGATCATTCTTTGATGGAATTGATCAAAAAGTCTTAAAATTAAAAGTAAGAGATATCTATTCTTGATGGTGATCTTATTAAGTCCTTGATAGTCTATGCACATCCATAAAAATCTATCTTTTTTTCATAAATAGGAGTTTCTATTGGAGATTTTGAATGGCATATGAAGTTCTTATCAATGTATTCCTTTAATGCATCCAACTCATTTTGCATTAAGCTATAGATTAATCTGAATAGTGGTTGAGCTCCTTCTTGCAAATCAATTGGACAATGTTCTAGAAGAATATCTGTAATTTATTTTTTTTTTAAAAAAAACGTCTTAGAAATCTTCAACTAGCTAAGAATATTGATTGATTTCTTTTAACCATTAGAAATGAGTATCGCATATATATCAAAAGATGACCTTTCTTTTGCAACATGCATAAAATTTTTTGCACCAACTAGTAAGAATTTGAATATACTAAACTTATATATTTCTACTTGACTAATAGAATTTTGGATGAAATTATTAAAAAAATTAAAGTTACAAGAAATTCAATCTATTTAAGGATTATATTTTTTCAACCACAATAATCCTAAAATAATTGGATTGAAGAGAGATATAATTACATTGAATGTTACTATGCTATTATGATCTTTAATTGCTATATTTAAAGAAACAATCTCATAGATAATATCTCCAAAAGACAAAAAATGACCATCTATGATTTCTACATATACAAGTTTAATTTTTTTGACTAAAGATATTTCTTGTTTTTTGACAAAGTCGTTGTGTATAAAAGAAGCTGAGGCTCCTAAATCTAATAATGTAATGACTTTGTGATTTTTAGGTCCTAAATACATATCTATTGTAAAATAAAGTGAAAGATTTGAAAAGAGAATAGAACCTTTATTAGGTGTTGCACATGATTCCAGCTGCTTGATTTCTATTATAGGTGGAGAAACTTATTTTCCAATAGATTTATCTTCTTTCACAATCATGCTCCTCATTTTGTGATTATATTACTTCTTTAGATAATATTGAGTAGTATACTTAGGTTTTCCATTATATAAGCACAAATCCTTTGAATAATGACGTTAAGTCTTTTCTTGCTCCGTGAGAGGATTTAAAATGTACTATATCAGTTTGCATTAATTCAAACCTTGATGAATAAGTTTCTAAAAACTTAAGAGCTACCATCATTACTTGACGTACTCCTCTCTGACTAAATCTTTGTTCTTAACGCCTTTTAAATAATCAATTTTCTAAGTACCAATCCAACTTAGTGAGACTTCTTGATTTCAACTATTAAAAATATTTAAAAGGTGTAACCTCTCACATTATTTCTAAATATAAATATTTTCTTGATATGTTAAAAATTGTCAAAAATTCCATTGATGAAAATCAAGTTCAATATTCATTTCCTCCAAAACCTAGTCTAAGAATTGATACTTGGTGACTTCTAACTTATAATCAATTAATGTTCATTTGTAAACATAACATTCATAGGGGGGTTTAAAAACCAATCACGTGTACAATAATTGAGGAGAGTTTGTAGCAGTGTCTATCAACTAGACTACACACTAAGTGATATGTGGGTCATTCCTTCCACCAACCAACCAATCAAAGTAGTAGAATTTATTTGCCACGTTGGCTTTGAAAACTGGAGGTTCAGGCGGAGTAAAAGAAGATCCCACAGAAATAGCCCCAAAAGTGGAGATCCGCAAAAGGACAACCCATGACCACGCGCGGTCGAGAGCCGAAATTCGAACTGTGGGAGGCGGAGGAGCCCATGACCGAGGAGGGGGGCCATCGTTGCTGCATCGTTTTCATCGACTGAGCAAAGCAGAGCTCCGAGTCAAGGCGAGTTCTACGAGGCCCCTCCTCCTCCTCCATCGCCTTTGTAACCCTGCGTGGACGATCGCCTCGTTTGTTTCATAGTTGCTCCACTTCTCTCGCCTTGTTTTTGTGTGTGTGGGTGTGTGAGTGTGAGAGATTTTGTTCTTCTGCTCCTCCGTGCAGGTGCCCTCATTGTGTTGTAGAATATTGTATTGCAGTTCGGTGTTCGTGATTTGGGATTCAATGGCCACTGTGTCGATGCTGGCTGTGGCAGCGGCGGCTGCGATTGCACCGCATGCCGCATCGCCCACTGTGGAAAAAGTGGGTACTCGTGCAATGGTATCAGAGTTTCGGGGAGTGAGGGAGCTGAGCATGGCTGCCGCCATTGCGCCGGGCATTGGGATGCTTAGGTGTTGCCAGGTGAAGCAGAGCAAGGCATTGAAGGCTGTGAGTGGCGTGCGTGCCATGGCCTCTTCCAACGGGGGTGCATTGCCGCCCAGCGGTCTTCCCATTGATCTGCGAGGTGTGTGGCAATGGCAATGGTGGAGACGGAGTGAAACATGGATTCCGTTTTTATTATTTATTATTTATTATTTTAATTGGAATAGTGTCTAAACAGTTCTGTGTGCTTATTTATATCGTTTGGAGTTTTTTAGGGAAGAGAGCGTTCATTGCTGGTGTGGCTGATGATCAAGGTTTTGGCTGGGCTATTGCCAAAGCCCTGTCAGCAGCTGGAGCTGAAATCCTTGTCGGAACCTGGGTGCCTGTACGTTCTTTGAACCTGATTGAATTTTTGATCATTCAGCAGAACTGCTAGTGCTGTTCTTGGTCTACTCTGCGGAGTTTTATTTGATCGATTTTCTTTTTCTTTTGGACAATGCAGGCTCTCAACATCTTTGAGAGCAGTTTGAGGAGAGGCAAGTTCGACGAGTCCCGAAGGTAAGTGCCTGAACAATGCAACGTGAACACTTCGTTTAGCGAAGGTTTAGACATGTTTATATGTAAAGTAAAATAATGCTGTAAGGAGAGAGATAACCAGCGTCGATTGTCTGCACAACTGACGTGGTCGATTAAATTTGCAATCACTGCATCGAACGGCCAATGATCGAGGCATTAACATTACTCAGGTTATTGTTAATTTGGGTGAATTGGCCCGTGTTGTCAGTGATTTACAGAGCAATCTTCATCAATATATATATATATTTATATTTATATATTCTTATTTTTTTCTTATTATTTTTTCTAGACTCCCCAACGGAGGGCTATTGGAGATAGCGAAAGTCTATCCTCTGGATGCTGTTTTCGACACTCCTGATGATGTCCCTGAGGATGTAAGTGAACTATCTACTCGGCTCCCATGTCACTTCTGAGATCGTTCTACTCAGACGCCACATTCTATGGTATATTTTTTCATTGAGTCGTCGGTTTCTTGATTGTGAAATGAATTTGTCTGAAATAGGTTCTTGCTTCTGGCACTCTCTAATTGATGATTTATCACCCATTTCTGTTCAGCTCTCTTACAGAGTTTGACTTGTTCTTGCATTACATTTTCATTTGCACTTCATGCGACATGTCAGGAACAATTTTGGCGCGAATCATGATTATAGTTGATTCATATTCTTAAACCATTTTAATCATGAGATTTGTGAGTGTTTTCTCCAGATAAAGAATAATAAGAGATACGCTGGATCAGAAGCATGGACTGTGAAGGTAGTTCTTCAAAGACTCTTTTTGTCCGAAGATTTTTGAAATGTTAGTATGACATTGTGTCTGAAAAGCCGAGAGAGTGAAGCTCTATATCTTCACCCTCGGTACTTACAACTGAAAATTAGAATAAATCTATTATAGTGGATCTCTCTTATAGGAGTTCTCTAATGTATAGTGAGTATGTGACAAACTTAGTTTGGAAGAGTTATAATGTAAGCATTTTAGCGTATGTTTCTTTGACACCGTCTTTCGGGATGCTCCTAATTATTGTGCAGGAATGTGCCGAAGCTGTGAAGGCTGACTTCGGCACCATTGACATCCTGGTGCATTCACTTGCCAATGGACCTGAGGTAGGGATTTTATCCACTAAGCACAGGCTGCAAATGGTCCTGGTTTCGCTCTGAATATGCTTTCATTTCTCGGCACCATTTTCTTGGGTATTGCTTGACCTTGTGTACAAACTCGAATCTGCTGACTCTCGCTTGGTTTGGGCTACATAAATTGTCTTCTACTTCTCCACTCTAGGTAACCAAGCCACTTCTGGAGACCTCTCGCAACGGTTATTTGGCAGCAGTCTCAGCTTCTACATACTCATATATCTCACTCTTGAAGTATTTTGCCCCTATCATGAACCCAGGTACTGAATGATTGCTCCACTTATCAGTTTTCTGGTTTCGTGAGTGGCATGTGATGGATCTTATGTGATCTTGATCACTTACCTGTGGTGTAAGGGTTCGCGTAGTTAAATATTATCGTGCTCCTCGCTGGTAACTGTATCTCATTGGTGTGGTCTACATTTCGGCTTTTGGCACTCAAATTATTTACCTAGTTGACGGTTTTTCCTGAGACTGTCTTGCTCTCATATGTTCATTTAGTCGTAGTGACTGACTCTCTGGGGATGACACTTAAGAATCTGGTAATGGGAAAAAGAACATTCAACATGGACATGCTAGCACGTCACGTCGAACTTCACCTGCCGATGCAAATGATGTTGATTCTGGTTGGTAACAGGTGGTTCTTCGCTTTCACTCACATACGTCGCATCCGAGCAGATCATCCCTGGGTAAGATTCAGAAGACTATTCTGCGCCTGAATAATGAAGCACGATTCTTTTTAATAAAGGGTGATGTATCAATGACATTAGTAAGTTGTTGATATCTTAAAGAAGTTCTTTTGTTTATTTGTTTATTTAGGGTTAAAACATCTATGCATATTAATCACTTAGAAAGTCCTTAACTTCCTTTGTTTAAATCATCTCTCTGAGCTAGTTTAGAGTACGTTATGACCATTTGTGCCCTTGACAGATATGGTGGAGGGATGAGCTCTGCCAAAGCTGCACTTGAGAGTGACACACGTGTAAGTTCCTTATCTGCGTAAGAATCTCTTGTAGTAATCGTCATTTGCGAATAACCCATCTCTAGGTTATTCCGACTACTTGATTAGTAGCAAGTTTGGTTCCACATCGATCTCTCGGCGTCTATTTTCTCCTTGTATTCGAAAAGCACTTTTGTTTCTTAAATAACATGTTCCAATGATTCACTTATCTCATAAGATTTCTCACTAGTAATGCCTCGTATGTTGTTATGTTAGTAGTGGTCTAAAATAACTTTCAGATGGTTTGCACGCTGGGCTCGATTTGTTGACATCGGCTTCATATCAGGTTCTTGCATTCGAGGTGGGTAGAAAATATGGCATTCGGGTCAACACTATTTCAGCAGGTACGGGTCCGTCTCTGAAGTATTCGTAACTGAATTTTCAAGATCTGGTTAGTCAAAATTGATTTTCCTCATATTCTACGGTGGTCCTAGTGGCATTATTATCAATTGGAGTGCGATGTTGTGCTAGTAAGATCATATTCTTGTTGAAATTATATTCAATATTACATGAGACAGTGGGACTCACTACTTTCTGCGTGTTTGAATTTGGTGGTAAGAAGAAAAAAAAATGTCTTCTATTTTTTATTTCGTATTATTAATATTTTTATCCCGTGCAGGACCCTTAAGAAGCAGAGCAGCTAAGGCTATCGGTTTTATTGATGACATGATCAATTATTCTTGTGCTAATGCACCCTTGCAAAAGGAGCTGGACGCAGGTGAACTTCAACATTCCTCTCTTTTTTTCTATCAGCACCACACCCCTGCCTCACACATCTCCTGGGACTTGATAACACAGAGTCGTCTTATTCTGACCTTGTGTAATTCAAGTCTGTTACGCACCAACTGAAAACATTGATCTTTCTTCACTTTCAAGTGGGATCTGACAATGTTGTGGATACGTATTGTTCCGCAGATGACGTGGGAAATGCAGCAGCATTCTTGGCCTCACCATTGGCTAGTTCTGTAACAGGTACATTGTTATATGTTGACAATGGCCTGCATGCGATGGGTTTAGCTGTTGACAGTCCTACTGTTTGCAAAGAAGCGGCTCCAGCTTCTGAGTTGTCTAATGTTGCAGCTTGATTTCCAACCATCGTTCTCAAATTTAGAGCTTTGAACTAAATATTTTCTTACGCTACTCGTAGACACTCCCCGTAGTTTTACCAGTTTGTGTGAGATTTAAAGCTGTTTGCATATTGTATTCTTGCCACTTCAGTTTCTTATAAAAAGTTCCAGAATCTAATTTATTGCTTGATTTCAAGTTTAATTTGCTTATAATAGAATTTTAACTTTTTAAAAACTTTTTAAAAACAACGCGAGTTATTGATAATAAAAACTTGGTTAGCAACATTTTTTTAATGAATACCTCACAGTTTCGAAATAATCTAGCATTTCCTCTCAATTTCTGTATGGCCTTTGTTTAGGGTTTTGTTTTGTGAGTACATATAGATCAAATTTGAATATAATAAGTTTATTTGATTATAAAAAAATATTATCTACATAATATGTTTCCATAAACTTTTATGTATTTTTATTTATTTAAATATGTGATTGTTAAAGAAATTATATTTTTATATTATTTTGATGCAAAAAAAAAAAAATAATATAAGAATTTATAATATATATATATTAATTTTTTTAAAACTAAATATACATTCTTACAAAAGTTTGCTTTAATCAAATTAGTAGATTGTTCAAAATCACATGAACTCTTATTGACTTTAAAAATTAAATATCCAAGATTTTTATCCAATTAGATTCCAATATCCTTCAATCGAACTATTTAATTGATCTTAAATTTTTAGAATACATCTATAATAAGCACATTTATAAATCTGCAAAATTTTATTTGTTCATCCATTTTAATATTTACAAATTTTTTAAATATGTAATTTTTTTATTTCTTAAAATTCAAAATCACTAAAAATTTCTTTGATTTTGAAAAGCTTTCAAAAACTCAAATAAAATCTAATCCACATAAATTTATTTTAAAATAAATTCTTTTAATTTTTTTCTAAAATATGATGAATTATAATTGTCACACATTTTAATCTTTATTTTCTTTAAATTTAATTGATAGATCTTTTCAGCTATCAATAGTATTTTATACTAATGCACAAAGTCTATCTTATTATTTAATCATTTTTGAAGCTTTTATAACTTCATTCAAATAAATCATTTGAAATACTATCAAATATAGTTTCTACTTCTAATAATATCACCAAACATGAGAAGTCTCTTCTAAGGTTGTGTTATAAAACACATTATATTTCACCATCTATTTGAACAAGATGTCATGGACATACTCATAATTACATATACAAATAGATAGAAGTAAGTAAAAATAGGTAAAAATAAGTTAATTCTATAGTATTTGATATGGAAACTTCCTAGAAGCTTCATAGACGTTGCTTTGACTTTGTAGGTGTTTTTAATTGACTTTTTGGATTAGAAACGTGGTCAACAAGTTGGCCATGTGCCACACATGTTGTTAGCTTAAAGACCAAGCTAACAATGTGGTTCACATATAGAAAAACTTGCCTTGTAAGTCAAGGCATGTGTCCTACAAAGTCAACACATATTGGAGGTCCTTTAGAATGTTGCCACATAGCCCCTAGGTAGATAGTATATATAGAGACAAGAGTGAAGCCTTCTTCACTCTTGTCAACTCCTTTCTTGCTTCTAGTGTAGTTTCAAGGGTCTTTAGTTTTTTTTTGGCAATAGCCATTCCAGTTTCTCTTTCAATATACATACTTGTTTATTTATATTTTGTTACTTTTCTTTGAATGAAGTCTCACTTGTTTGAATTGCTTTTTCATCGAGTTCTTGTCCTTGACACAAGAACATATTTTTAAAGGTCTGTATTCCTATTATGTTATCTTAAAGATTGTACTAATCTCAATATCTCGTCCAATTATTTAACAAATAAAAGTTTCTATGTTGACTAGTTTAGTTGTTAATTCTCCATCTCATTAGCCTCACAAATACAAAAAAATCATAAAACAAGAATAAAATATAAAAGGCAATCTTAACCAAACTTTGATTTTATGGCTAAAAATTGATTTATTTTTTATTTTGATTTTGATGGATGTTGTCAATAAAAAGCATCAACCTTCTTTGTTGCATTTGCAATTTTCTTAATTAATTCTAATATATGTTCACTAATATCATCTTTGTACCAATATATAAAATATTCCAGCTTATTTTGACAGTGCCTTCAATCTAAGACTTCGTCAACCTCAAACTTAAGTTTATTGTACACTTCTAAAAGAAGTGGTGGCATTTGCTTTATTTCTGATATATCTAATATCTTGTATGGCTCAAAAAAAGAAACTTGAAATACAAGATAAATTTTCATAGACTTTTATAGGTATAATCAATATACAAATAAATTAATTTATTTATAAATAAGAAATAACATTAATCTATAATAACTTATTTTAGTATAAGAGCAACTATTTTTGATATTACAACAAAGTAATCATACTTTGTTATTAACGTGGAATTGAAGTTGTTCTTTATGTTGATCATTTAACATTCTTGAGCTCTTTTCAACTATGCCTTTATTAATCCACATTGCTCTCATAAACAATTTGCATAAATTTCTTCTATAAAATTATCAACTTTTGAAAAGTTAAAAATATTAAGATATGGATGATAGCCATAATTAACATAAAAAGATTATTATTGAATAGAAAAATAAATTGTATTATTATATGAAATTTCCACTAATTCTAAGAAAATTATTCAATCATCTTCATGGCAATTGATGGTATATTTCAAATACTATTTTAAAACTTGATTTACTTGTTTTATTTATCTATTGATTTAAAGATCAAAAGTTGAAGATAGATTTATATCCACCTTGAATATCTTAAAAAGAGTTCTTTTAAACCTTGATATAAATTATATCCTTTTATTAAATATAATATTCTTTGATGATCTATTGTAACAATAAATATTATTAAAGAAAAATTTAGGTATTTTTTTACATATAATAGTTTTTGTACATGATAAAAAAAAATGTGTCATCTTGGTAAAACAATCTATTATCACAAATATAGAATCATATAAATTTAAGATTGAAAGATTTGTGATAAAATTTATAGCAACAAAAGACCATGATTGTTATGGTATAGTTCGCAGTTGGTGAAGTCCATAAGGCTAATGAGAAGGAATTTTTAATCTTGAACAAACATCACATGTTTATACACAATTTTTAACAACCTTCTATATTTGAGACTACCAAAAATCTTAGGATATTACTTTTAATGTCTTATTATATCAAAAATATCTTATAGTTGAAAAATTATGACAAGCTTAAAAAATACATAATTTTGCTTCATTTTTTGAAATATATAAGCATCCTTTGAAATAGAGAAGATTTTTCTTGAATTATTTTTTCAATCAATATGTAATCTTGCATTCAAATCTTGACATAGACATATTCATAAGATCTTAGCAATAATTTAAAATACGTGCTGACATAATTTACTTGAGGTTCTTATAATCTATATAAACAAACAATAGATTCAAAGCACTTTTTAGATAATGACACCATTCTTAAAATAAATCCATAGTTGCAAGAAGTTTTTTTATTGTAGATCTTATAATTGATCTTAATTGCTGAAAATTTTCTTGAACAAAAAGTTATAGTATGAGGTTTTTTTTTATCTAGTCCAATTTGTAATAATATTACATCCAAAAAAAAAGTGATATATTTATTTCCACAAAAAATACCTTAGAATAGTAGACATAGTATAATATTGGTGTAAAAAAAAGTTATTTTCAATTGATACTACTAATTCTTTATTCTACTTAAATTTCTCTTTACAAATAAATCTATAATTTTAAAATATTCTTAATTAAGGATTGATAGTAATTAAAAAATTCCAAAAAATATTGAACATCTCTTATTGTTCTTGAAATATTTTAATCTTTAATAGTCCAAACTTTCTCAACATCCATCATAAGACAATCATTTGAAATGATGTGTTTTAAAAAGTCAACTTAAATAGTATGAAATATACTCTTTTCTATCTTGGGATATTAACTTACATCTAAAAGTTATTGTAATGTAAAATAACTATAAATTTTATATTCTTTTGTGTCAATAAATCAAATTATGATGTAATTTAGATAACAATTAATAAAATCATCTAAAAATTCTTTAAAAAATATTATTTATTAGATTTTGAAAAATAATTAATGCATTTTTGAATCCAAAAGGCGTGACATTATATTTGCATTCTTCTTTTCAAAATATCTTGACAATTCTTTTATTGGCTCAAAATGCTACTAAAAATATTTTCACTATAAAAAAATGAATGTAGTATAAATAATTTTTTTAACACATATAAAAGCTCTTACATCTACAAATAAGAATTTGGTTGTATAATCCCTGAAGTTTGATTTATAATCCAAAATAAAATAAAAGGTATTTAAAAACATCCTTTAAAAATTTGAAATAATTTAAGTAAACTTCCAATTGTCTTTAGTACATCCTATTAATCTTAGAAAAATCTTAGATATATCTTGTCATATTCTAATAAATTCTAATTAAATCTTAAATAATCTTTAATATATTTAAAATAAATTCTAATTAAACCCTAATCATATTCTAAATTCTAAATTTTAATTATATTCCAATCAAATTCTAAATCTTAAAAAAACCTTAAAACTTAATTTCTAATCAAATCTTAAATTTTAAATCCTATCGAATGCTTAATAAACCATAGCAAAATCCTAATCAAATCCTAAGTAATTTTAATTAATCCTTTATCAAATCCTAAAGTAAATTAAATTCTTAATAATTAATAATATAATTATTAATTTTGATTCAAGAAACTTTGCACCTTTTAATATATTAGTTGAAAACAAGCACTATAAATTTAAAGAAGATCAAACTTATAGAATACAAACTAAACTTCATAATCTGCATGGAAATTAATTGGCATCCTTTTTCAACCTTTATGTCAATTTTCTAATACTAATATCTCTTGATTTTATCATTCAAGTACTTTCAAGTTTTGCAAAGTTGTTGGAAATTAAGTTTTATACTAATATAGAAATTTCATCTCAATTTAATCAGTGAATTGCTACAAATCTTGTAAATCCTTTGGTCCTCCAAATTCCAATTTTTGAGACTCTAATCCACTAGAGTTTCAAGATTCTTGAAATTAATTATTTTATCAAGCTTAAACTTATAGCGTACATTTATTAAAAATTTAATCACAAATCTAAAAAAAATTAATTA